ACGTAACACACACACAAGTACACTTAGCACTCACACAAGTACACGTAGCACACACACACAACACACACACAAGTACACACACAACACACACACACAAGTACACACACACAACACACACACAAGTACACGTAGCAAACACAGAACACACACAAGTACACACACACAACACACACACAACACACGCAAGTACACACACACAACACACACACAACACACGCAAGTACACACACACACACAACACACAAGTACACACACACAACACACACACAAGTACACACACACACAACACACACACACAACACACACACACAAGTACACACACACACACACACCACACACACAAGTACACGTAGCACACAACACACACACAAGTACACACACACAACACACACACAAGTACACACACACAACACACACACACACAACACACACACACAAGTACACACACACAACACACACACAACACACACACAACACACACACAACACACACACAGACACGCAGGTTCTCGTCAAGGGCGTCTCACGAATGTCACACTCGTCCATCACCTCACCTGGTCCGACTCCCCCCCCCCGCTGCCCCTCCTCCTCTTGTTGTCGCTTTTAGAACGCGCGTGTGTCTCATGAAACACAATCGTTCACCCTCATTGTATGGGACGTGCACACATGTGCAGCCACGACACGCGAATGCTCAAAAGCAACGCAAAGCATCGTGTAAGAATTCATAAAACATGAACGCAGTACGCCGGCGCTGCGTTAAACATATTCGTGCTATTTGCATCGCCAATCGTAATTAAAAACGTTACGAGCGAATATAGGCAACGTGGACAATTAGCGTGATGTCAGCGGTGTCAAACTGTCCAATTGCGGTGACATTGAGGACACGTCCCATACACGCTGCACGCGTACAAGCTGTCCCGCTTGCATAAGCGCTAATAGCATAGCGTAAAGCTCAGCCACGGCCTTGGCTGTCTTGTAAAACGAAGGTCTGAACCGCCTTCCCTTTCGTATACGGCAAGCAGACAATCACGACACACCAGCGGCAGTGCGGGGCCTGTAGCACATGTCATAAAAGGGCCCCTAAATTTAAAATGAAAACAGAAAAAATATTAAAACGCACATTTTTTTTGTACTTGCATTGTAAAGTAATTGTATTTTTTTGCATTTGCTATACAGCCTGATAATACGACTAATCGCTAACCTTAAACAGCCAGTCGTTCGTAAAAGTAGAAGGCGGTATAGTACTATAGTAATAGAGCAAGTGCAGATTCACTGAACCGGAATTGATAGCTTGAAAGCATTTCGCGCGGGGCCCTTGAAAGTGCGGGGCCCGTAGCTACTACTACACGTGTAGTAGTAGCTACTACTACTAAATATGTAGTAGTAGCTACTACTACTAAATATGTAGTAGTAGCTACTACTACTAAATATGTAGTAGTAGCTACTACTACATATGTAGTAGCTACTACTACATATGTACTACATGTGTAGCTACTACTACATATATGTAGTTGCTACTACTTGGATAATCCGGCACTGGCCGGCGGCGTGACATGCCTCGCTACCTCCGGTAGGCACAACATTCCATCGGGTAGCTGCACTGTGCACGTAGCAGTAGCATCAGCAGCATCAGCAGCCATCATCCATCCACAGCTGGATGAAGGCCACCCTCTCCCCCCGCCCCCCGCTCTAATCAGCCCGCATCTCTCACGAGCGTCCGTTTATAGCAATGCAATATGATGACCATATAGGGCCTCTATAGCTCTCTCCCAATCATACATCATTAAACGTGCGCACAAACACATCATCTTAACAATATTCAAGAACAATAGGGACTACAGCCCGTCAACTAAACGGACCCCAACGCGTGCGCTCTTAACCTTTTGATCTATCGGTAAAGTCACGCAGATAGATTCACAGAAAGAAAAAAATAACAACAAAAAAATAACAAACAAAAAAAACTGAGAAGGATGGTTGGTGGGATGAGACGATCGTCGGTGTCTTGATCTCGTCTCCGTCGCGTGACGCTATTGTTGATTCGTGTTGTGACGACACGAGATGACTATTCCCTCCCCCCTCCCCCCTTTCTGTCTCCCCCTGCTCCACCCGCACCCCGCCCCTCGCTGTGATGCGACCTTGAGGCCGCATCCCCAGCCAGAGGTCACGGTGGCCTAGAAGCCACGCCACATCGGGTTAGTTACATTGTTTATTAAAAAAACACTGTCACTTAAACATTGTAGTAGGTCTTCTTTGGTTCTTTCGGTAAAGTCACGTAGAATGAGAATAAAATAATAAATTGATATAATAAAATAACACAATAATATTCTCACGACGTTTCGGCCACAACACAAGCGGCCTTCATCAGGTGTGTTTGTTTAATCTGTTATCATTATTAATAAATATATATTGTGTTTCCCCATTCCGCTTCCTTTTCAAACGACGTTTACCAATGGAAAGTCGAGTGACTGAATTGAGACGACACATCATTGATGGATGCTCAAATTTGACACATTTGCAATTTGAAAAAAAAAGTCCTAAATTATTTTAAAAAAATACTTCATGCATAAATATTATTCATGGAAGATCAGTTGGCCCGTTTGTTAATATCAATTAAATCCCCCTATATGATTTGTTACAAATAATTATCATAACCCAATGTGTTCTGATTTTTGGCCCACCCTTTTTATAAGCATTGGACGTGCCAGTATAAATATTTGATGTGAGTGCGCTGGGTGAATATACATATGCCGGCCTATATTGTGAGTCTGTAAGTGATGTGCAAGTCTACATGCGTGAGTGTGTGCTGTTGTTGCTGCATGCATCCGTGTTGTATCTGGAAGCGTGTAAATATATGAACTGTACATGCGGTGAGTCTGTGTGCATTGCTATACTGTATATACACAATGTCCGATATGTGTACATCGTGTATTTTATACATGTATGTAATGCATTTGCTACGTGCAATGCTTTGTAAGTATGTCTGCTCTGTGTATATATATACTATGTATATACGTATGTTGAACTAGGCTTTGTACGTGCTACAGTGCATTAGAATTCTTTGTATTTTTCGGTCGTGTCGCCTGTGTGTCTGGTATGTTTTGTCCACCGCGCATAATTGTGCAGTGCTCTCAAAAGCGCGCACACTGTGATGACACGTTTATGGTCTGTTTTATAATAATACTGTAACGTTATGAAATTATAAAAAAAAATCACGCGCGCGCACGCACGCACACACAAACCCGCACACGTGCATTTACAAATACAAATTGACCGACCGATGTAATTCACTTATGATTATTAATATAAAAATATTATTAAACGTAAGCACGCTTATTGTTGCAAGTTATTTGGTGAAGAATGCTGCATTGGCAGAAGTACAAAAGCACAATTATACAACAGTGCGTGGCCTTGAAAGAAAACAAATATATATAAAATCGGCGACGTTTCTTCATGGCATGTGAAGGCCCATTGCCCGAAACGTCTCCGATTATATACATGTATACAATTGTTGAGGCCGCCAGTGTTGTTGACGCGTGTGCTGTGTAGCTTGCAGTGTGGGATCGGACATCATATTGTTTTATATTCTGTATATTTCCCCGGTTACACGCAAACTTTAAAAGCTTGCACGACTACAGTAACGCGCTACTGTGTTCCTTACTGCCAAAACTAAATATGTCCTTGTGACTAAAGCAACACACGTGTATATATATGTCAACTTCTATTCGCCGCAAACATTGTGTTGACTCTCAAAGGTAATTTATTTTGTTTTGGAGCGGGAGTGGGGGGTTTATTTTCATCCCCCAAAAAATATATAAATCTACCCCGACGTCAATCGAATGACGATGCCCTTCGCCGCTTTAAGTTTCGCGATGCGGTCATCGATAATGACGTTGGCACAATGACAACGCGTGGCTTCAACGATGGGCAGGTTCAAAGTGTTGGCACTGCGACTTCGGACGGTCGGGCGAACGGCGAAGCGTGTTTGTCTTTCTCGAAAAGATTTTTAAAAAAAATCCGCACAAATCGCGTTGAAATAAATTTTGCTCGCTCGTTCGTTCGCGGTCCGTGCATTAATTAATTCGCCGAGAAACACAAGCGAAGTGGACAATCGCCCTCCAAACGAAAACGCGGCTTTGCATCGCCTTAGCGTCCGTGTTGGTAATCGGGACACATTCGCGGTATGCATGCTAATATAACGACATGTATCGTAACCATATTTTGTTATATCCATAATACAGATTGTTGTTATGTATATATCAAAGCGTCCTTCATGCTAATTGAATCTCAAAACGGCTGAACATGTGTTTTTGAACGCGCGCATTACCATCACAAAATCCAAACAATGATGGCCATCATTAAATAAAAACAAAGCCCCAAACGATAACAGAACCTCCACATATCAACAGAACCAAGAGACCACCAATAACACAAAGCAACAGAGACTCAAATCGAACCCCCGAGTGGAGGAGATGTCCCTGGCTCGCCCGTGCATCGCTGGTGGAGCAAGATGCGTGCGCGTGTGTGTGTCGTATGGGTGTGTGTTGTCTGCGTGTGTGTGTGTGTGTGTTGTCTGCGTGTGTGTGTGTGTTGTCTGCGTGTGTGTGTGTTGTATGGGGAGCGGTAACGTAGTCATCAAAGCGCTGCGCTACGAACCTATACGAAACGAGTTCGATTCCCGCTCATGGCCAACATCAGTGACGGTTATCTGAAGCGGTCCTGGGCCTCCCCGAGGTCGACTCAGCCTCAACGAGGACCTAGTGGCGATGCCTGCGTATAAAACGTCGACACCGGGGAGACAAAGGCGGCCGGGTGTGCTTGCTGGCCATCACACCAACCCCTCGTGCTCGCTTAACAGCGCTTGTTCTAACAACAACAACATTCCGTCAAGGCCATACGACGGGAGGGTGGTAGATCTTTGTCTTCGCGTGCCGTGTGTGATGTGTCCGTGCAAAACAAACGACGCGCACACAGGCACACCCGCGTGTGCGGTCCCCTACTTACTGGGATCAATTTGCACCTTGTCATCGCTCTTCTCAGACTCCACCTCCGCCTTGTCCGTGCACGGGAACACGGGGGCCTCGGACGGCTTCTCTCGACGCTCCGCGGGCGCCTCGATCGGGAATTCCGCGTGCATCGAAGCAGACGACGCGCCGGGCGACAAATCGAACTTAGCAGAGTCTGGCCGTTCACTCCTCCTCGCCGCCTGCCGATGATGCTGCTGCTGCTGTTGTTGCAGCAGCTGTTGTTGTTGCTGCTGCTGCTGCAAAGGCTCGAGTTTGTAATCGTAGGGTCTGACCCCACCGCCGCCGCCGCAGAACCCCGAGAATCCCACGGGCTCTAGCCAAGAGCGCACGAAGCGTCCGCCCTCGTCGGCGAGGTGCGGCTGTCCCACGTAGGCCGCGTGCGGGTGAAAGACCCCGCCGGGCTGCTGCTGCTGCTGTTGCTGCGTGTGGATGGGCGACCAGGCGGAGGGGGAGGCGAACACGGAGCCCTTGGGCTGGAAGCTGCACGAGGGGAAGTCTGGGTGCTCGCTCAGCTGCACGGGGGCCGCGGGTCTGCCCGCCTGCGGGTGGTGCGCGCCGCCGCCGCCGCCGCCGCCCGGGTACCGCGCGGCCGCCGCCGCCGCTGAGGCCGCGGCGGAGGAGGCGGCGGCGCTCATCATCCCGTCCGCCGCATCGCCGCCGATGAGCGAGTGAACGTAGTAGGTGCCGAGGGTCCCCGAGCTCGACATGGAGACCGCACGGGTCAGCCGCCTCTCCACGCTGCAGTCTGATTCCTCCCCCCCCCCCACTACTCCACACCCCCACCCCCCCTCTCCGGACTCCACACACCCCCCCCCCCCTTCTTTGCCTCCTCCACCACTAACCCCGGCACACTCCCCACTCCCCTTCTCCCTTCTCGCGTCGTTCACTCAGAGGGAAGGGGTGGGGGGAGCGCCGCTGTCTCGCTCCGAGCCGCTGTGTTCGCGGCCTCTCCCCTTTGCACTGCGATCACCAACCAAAAGCTGTGGGGGTGCTGGTGGTGGGGGGGTGGTGGTGGGGGGGTGGTAGTAGTGGTGGTGGGGGGGTAATATCACTCCGCCGGTGGGGAGGAGAGAGGGGGGGGGGGAGTGACCGGGCTGAGTATTCGAAGCGATACTCAGTAAGAGACATTTGATGATTTTGACGTACAGCCCCGTAACAGACTGCTGGGTAAAGTGCCGTGAGCGAGCAATCTACAAAAGGCCGGGTACAGCACACGAGAGGGTGGGTGGCTAGCACAACGCCCGGCCGCCTTTGTCTCCCCGGTCACGCTGTTTACAGCATCACACCGAGTACTCATTTGAGGCCGAGTCGACCTAGCGGAGGCCCGGGGCCGGTTCAGATAAATTAATCGTCGCTGATGTTGGCCGTGATCGAGAATCGAACTCGGAGCGCGCTGACCGCTACACTACCGCTCCCACCCCCAATGGACACAATCATATGCACGCGCATACGCATCGCCTGTGCGCGCGCGTGGTGTGCGCGGAAATTATAAAGCACGCACGGCGTTTGCTCCAAAGCGATGCAAAAGGCATCCGGAGCACTTGCAAATAGCCCGCTTGGAGGAGGGTCACGTTGCGGGTTTGTGTCTGTCGGTTTTTTTTCTCCTGCAGTCCTGAGCTGCTGCTGCTGCTGTTGTTGTTGTCGTAGTTGTTGTTGTTATCGTTGTTGTTGTTGTTGTTGTCGTGTGCGCGAGTGTGTGGCCTGTGAGGGCGCTATTCGCTAACGGCACTTGCCCCAATAGTCTATTAAGGCTATATGGGGCATTTTGTCTTTGCTGCTGTTGTTCATTTTGTTGTTGCATCTGTTTCCTTTTGTAAAAGCTACGCAAATATAATATGAATTATTTACACCTTCAAATACTTATGCCAGCTGGAACACAGATGAAATGGCACGCACATATTGATCGTTTTAACTGCTGTAATGCAGTTGCACAACGATCTATTAAAAACTTTACGCGCATCTTATTATAATCCTCGAGTGAATAAAAAGCCTGCACAGACTTTTGGGGCAAGTGCTGAAGGCGATGTTTATTACACACACCGCACTAGGGCTGAACGATTTGGGGAACATATTTAATTGCGATTTTTCTGATAGATATTGCGATTTTATTTGCGAAAAAAAAATTAAGTCAAGCTTCACAGTTCAATATTCACTGTGTAATAGATATAAACCACGTGATGGAGCATTACCACGTGATACCATCAACATACGAACTGCTCTATATATTATAATGCAAGGATGATAACTTAAAAGATATGAATTGCTTCCAACATGTATTTATTAAAATGTTTAAATTGAAATAGATCGAACATAGAACAATTGTTAAGTTAAATAAATAGAGTTATAATAATCATAAAACAAATCCAATAAGAAAGTAATAGGACTTTTCAAATCGCAAAAAAATCGCAGCCTTTTGCGTTTTGCCAATTGCATTGTTTCAAATTGCGATTTCGATTTGAAATCGATCAATCGTTCAGCCCTACACTGCACCAGGTACTCATTTGAGGCTGAGTCGACCTAGGTGAAGGCCCAGAACCGGTTCAACATAATCCTCACTGATCTTGGTCGTGAGCGCGAATCGAAATCGGGTCGTCCCGTATCGCAGCGCAGCTCGCTAACCGCTACTCTACCGCTCCCCACAACACGTTACACACACAGACAGGCACTCGTGCTAGCTACTTCACCATTCAATGAGCCGGTGTGCTGTCACAGGTCTCCCCCCCACCCCCCCCCACCCCCCCTACATCGTGAGCAAAAATCATTGGCAGTGAACATCTCTCGACCCCATCACACAACTGCGGAGAACCCCGCCAACGTTAAAAAATACAACCCTCGTGGACGGCGCTTGCGTAACACAAGTGGATAATGCACAGCCTTGTAAATCCGAACCGACCGTATATTCGCCTTCTGGCACGAGTGCGCGCGCGTGTGTGTGCGGTCGTGTGGTCGCAGTCGTGGTAGCGGGGGAGCGGTAGCGTAGCGGTTAGCGCGCTGCGCTTCAAACCTGGGCGACCCGTTCAAATACCCGCTGACGAGTATCCAATACCGGTCCTGGGCCTCCGCCAGACCCAACTCATCGCCATTGTAGAAACACAAAGGTTGCCGGACGTGGTGCCGGCTAACTAACCCTCCCGCCTCGTACGCAATGCCGACCTTAGTTGGGGTGCTGCTCGCTAGCGGCACTTGCCCCGGAAGTTTGTTGAGGCTATAACGTGGCGTGGGGAATCTTTGTCTTTGTGTGCGAGACGACGTGCGCGAGGCTGCTTTTTGTTTTGCCATTGAATTCCCAACGGGGGTTCTTCCTCACTCGCTGTCTACAGCCGCGTCTGCAATTTTAAAATCAAGATCATGACGCTGATTATACGTCCGATGCCGATGTGATGTGAATCCATGTTTTGGTGTGCGTGAATTCGCGAGTGTTTAGCGGCACTGCATAACCGTACGACCGAAGGTGTTCCTGAACACAGGACCGCACCAAACTCGCCGATAACGCAACGCCATCAGCAAGCCAGACGACGTTGTTGTTGTATTTTGCGTGACGACTTGCGTTGGCAGTAGCGGCGCGTGATGACCCCACACATTATTACAACGAAAACGGGGGAGGGGGGGTCCATTGCCCGAAACGTTGCCTATTATAAATACAAAATAAGCATATTTCAATGCAGTATTTGTTGACGAAAGTGTTGAGTATCAGCTCACACACCCGCGAGAAAGCGAGAGATATTTCCACAGCGAGAGCTAATGGCTACGGACAAGAGCCGGAGACACCGTGGGGGTAGAGTGGCATGCCGACTATGTGCCGCTGTGTGTGTGTGTTGTGCGTGCGTGCGTGCGAATCGACGGCGGTAGCCTAGCGGTTAGCGCACTGCGCTACTACGAACCCGGCGACCCGAGATCAATTCTCGCTCACGGCCACCAACACCGTTGGCTATTTTCTGAACTGCGTCCTGTGCCTCCCCTAGGTCGACTCAGCCTCAAATGAGTACCCTGGTGCCTGGTGTGCATAAACGTCGCCCACTGGGGGAGGCAAAGGCGGCCGGGCGCGGTGCTGCCCACCCACACACCCCCTCTGGTGTGCCAAAGTGGGGACCTTCATCGGTTGCTGCTCGCTGACGGCACTTGCCCCGACGGCCTGCCGAGGCTACACGGGGGATCTTTGTCGTCTTCGAGAATCCACTTGACGGCCGTGACGAGAACCGCGACGTGCCTCGCGTTGCGATTCACGAGACGAGCCACGCGTGCGGAGCAAGCGGCAGGCTGCGTGGAAAGCCAGCGCCGGACTCGGCGCGAGGAATGGAATCTCCGTCCCCATTAAAACCACAGAAGGCACAGCAGCTGGGGGCTCAGTCCCACCCACCACCACCACCACCACCACCTTCCTTCCCGCACGCCCTGCAGTTCATAACGTGTCCGGCCCCGTGGTGGTTGCGGTGTAAGTGGTGTCTGTGGTGGTGGTGGTGGTGGTAGTGTTGTGAGTGGTGGTGGCAGTAGTGGTTATGAGCGGTGGTGGTAGTGGTTGGTGTGAGTGGTGGTAGTGATGGTAGTAGCGGTGTCAGTGGTGGTGGTAATAGTGGTTGGTGTGAGTGGTGGTGTGAGTGGTGGTGGTAGTGGTTGGTGTGAGTGGTGGTAGTGAGTGGTGTTGTGAGTGGTGGTAGTGATGGAAGTAGTGGTGTAAGCGGTGGTGGTAATAGTGGTTGGTGTGAGTGGTGGTAGGGGTGGTGTTAGTGGTGGTGTGAGTGGTAGTAGTGGTTGGTGTGAGTGGTGGTAGTGGTTGGTGTGAGTGGTGGTGGCAGTAGTGATTGGTGTCAGTGGTGGTGTGAGTGGTGGTAGTGGGTGGTATGATCGGTGGTGGTGGTAGTAGTGGTTGGTGTGAATGGTGGTAGTTGGTGGTGGGAGCAGTGGTGGTGGTAGTAGTGGTTGGTGTGAGTGGTGGTGGTGGTGGTAGTAGTGGTTGGTGTGAGTGGTGGTGGTGGTGGTGGTAGTAGTGGTTGGTGTGAGTGGTGGTGGTTGGTGGTGTGAGCGGTGGTGGTGGTTGGTGTGAGTGGTGGTAGTGGTTGGTGTTAGTGGTGGTGTGAGTGGTAGTAGTGGTTGGTGTGAGTGGTGGTAGTGGTTGGTGTGAGTGGTGGTAGTGGTTAGTGTGAGTGGTGGTGGTGGTAGTAGTGGTAGTAGTGGTTGGTGTTAGTGGTGGTAGTGGTTGGTGTGAGTGGTGGTAGTGGTTAGTGTGAGTGGTGGTGGTGGTAGTAGTGGTAGTAGTGGTTGGTGTTAGTGGTAGTAGTGGTTGGTGTTAGTGGTGGTGTAAGTGGTAGTATTGGTTGGTGTGAGTGGTGGTGTGAGTGGTAGTAGTGGTTGGTGTTAGTGGTGGTAGTGGTTGGTGTGAGTGGTGGTAGTGGTTGGTGTGAGTGGTGGTAGTGGTTGGTGTGAGTGGTGGTGGTGGTGGTAGTAGTGGTTGGTGTTAGTGGTGGTGTGAGTGGTAGTAGTGGTTGGTGTGAGTGGTGGTAGTGGTTGGTGTGAGTGGTGGTAGTGGGTGGTGTGAGCGGTGGTGGTGGTAGTAGTGGTTGGTGTTAGTGGTGGTGTGAGTGGTAGTAGTGGTTGGTGTGAGTGGTGGTAGTGGTTGGTGTGAGTGGTGGTAGTGGGTGGTGTGAGCGGTGGTGGTGGTAGTAGTGGTTGGTGTTAGTGGTGGTGTGAGTGGTAGTAGTGGTTGGTGTGAGTGGTGGTAGTGGTTGGTGTGAGTGGTGGTAGTGGGTG